ATTCTCCTCTTGGGATCTTGGGCACGCACGCACACGCGCCCAGCATGAGTTTCAAGCCACCGGGTCCGGGACGTGAACCACGGTCGACTACGTGGGAATCCAGCAACATAGCCATTACGCTAACTGCTGGTTCCCCATATGGCAGCTTTTGTTTTTGGTTTTGTGCCTTATTTTCCCATGCTAGATGGTGAGTTCCTTGAGGGTGATCACCATTTGCTCTTCCTGCTCACTTGCAGAAATCCCAAGCACTGTGCCCATTTTATGGTAGGGCCTAGTAGACTTCTGAAAATGTGTGTCCCATCATCTCTGTGCTCTGGAGCAGGCTGAGAAGTAGACATCCAGAAACGAGAGAGAGGACAAGGAATTGTAGGAAGGGCCCTGCCTGGGTCTGACTAGGGATAGTAGAGGAGCTCTGCAGCCTTCCCTTGTCAGGGAATGAGGAGGGACCCAGGCCATGTAGTTTGAGACCTAGATTTGGGGTGGAGTCAGGATTGTCCAGCCCTGACAGCTCTTGTCTCTTCCCCTACGGTTTTCAGGCACCAGATGGGCACCCCCTGCGCATATGACAGAGGTAGCAGCACCCCCAGCTGTGGTGCTCCACCGTATTCTCCGGGAGCGGGCCCTCTGGGATGAGGACCTGCTTTGGGCCCAGGTGCTAGAGGCCCTGATGCCAGGTGTAGAGCTGTACCACTACGTCACTGACAGCATGGCACCCCATCCCTGCCGTGATTTTGTGGTGCTCCGGTGAGGGTTTCTGGGTGTCACCCTCCTGTGCTTGGGGGACCAAAGAGGTGGGGTGAGAGGCAGTGCCAGGAATCTGAACATGTACGTCCCTTCTCCACAGAATGTGGCGCTCTGATCTGCCTCGTGGGGGGTGCCTGCTTGTCTCCCAGTCCCTAGACCCTGAACAACCAGTGCCAGAGTCTGGAGTACGGGCCCTCATGCTCACCTCCCAGTACCTCATGGAACCCTGCGGCCTGGGTCGCTCTCGTCTTACTCACATCTGCCGTGCTGACCTCAGGTACCAGCCTAGCATGGCCTGCTCCTGCCTCTTGACCCAAATCTCCTCCCTTCCCTCAGTCCCTACTTTTCTGTCCCATGCCATTGATCCCTGAAGTTGGGGGAAAGTTTTTCCTTTTTTCCTCTTAGTGAGAGCTCCAGGAAAAAGCCTATTGCTAATGTCTGACTTCTTCTACCTTCCCAGGGGTCGTTCTTCTGACTGGTACAACAAAGTCTTTGGGCACCTGTGTGCTATGGAAGTGGCCAAGATTCGGGACTCCTTCCCCACCTTGCAGGCAGTTGGCCCTGAGACAAAGCTGTGAACCTCAAGTTGGTGCCAGGGTGACACCACCCAGGCCCCCTGGCACCATGGGAGTGAGAGAAAACAAGCAGAGCAGCCCCTGGATGCTGCTGCCAGGGGCAGAGCCAGGCCCCAGTGGCTCCAGTGGCCTGTCCCTCCACCTATCTACACTGTATTTCCAGCCCAGCACTGTATTCTACTCCCCCAAGAAAGGAAGGTGATGTTGGTAGCAAAAAGACTGCTGCTGTCCTTCACCTGTCCAGGAAGCCACCACTGTCTGAAGGGTCAACAGCTCCCCTGTCATCAGTAGGAAGCAGGCTGTGGTTCCAGCTCTCCACCAGTCTGGCAGGCCACGCCATCATCCTGTTTGTTGCTAAGATCCTTTTTTTTTTTTTTTTTTTTTTTGAGAGATTTTTTACTGTAGGGCGGGTGCGTCCGCGCGTGCGCTCGCCAGACAGACAGAGAGAGACATAGAGACAGAAAGCGAGAAATCACCCCCCGGGGGGATGGTCACGCCGCAATCCCTTCTCCTCCATTCTCCTCTCGGGATCTTGGGCACGCACGCACACGCGCCCGGCGTGAGTTTTAAACCACCGGGTCCGGGACACGAACCGCGGTCGACTATGTGGGAATCCAGCGACATAGCCATTACGCTAACTGCTGGTTCCCAGGTCCTTTTGAGGTTGGATGGGAGGTTTTGTTCCTGCCTTTGGGCCCAACATTGGCCCTGAACTGGCTATTCCAGAGAGATTTTATTGGAATGGATGAACACAGGGGTAGAGCTAAGGGCACTCTCACCACCATGAGCTGTTTTATTTGTATAAACATTCGCTGATTTTTATAAGCCTGATTTAGAGTGGGCACCCTAGTAGGTGACATGATGATTTGGAACAGCTTGGGATGAGAGGGTTGGAACCTTCCTTTCTCAAGTCTCAAGACCAATAATCAAGTGTCCCCTGGCTTGGGCTCCATACTTTATCTTCCATTCCCTGGGGTCCCGGGGATTTTGGCCATGTGCTGCCATGTCTAAAGAGTAAATGGACTCACTGCCACCACATAGGCCAGGCAAAAGCAGAGAGTGTCAAGGAGACAAGTGTCTGTGTTCTTTTGATTATGGTCATGAGCCCTTTTGCCTTTGGTAGTGAGCTAACATAACAGCCCCTTCCTTGAGCAGATCTGGACCCTGTGCCACCCATATGGAAGGGCCCATATTAGCCAGCTGGGGCTTGATCCAAACCTGATCCATCCCTCCTGTCAGCTGTCTTTGTTCATATCGAAAGCCACATGCTATTCAATGTCCAACTGGTGCTTTATTTTTCTTTCTATTGAATAAAGTAGAGTGGAATGGGCCTCAGCCACCTTTGTAATTTTTTAAGGTTTAGTATTTTTTCCATGAGCAAGAGACAGAGATAGAGACAGCACTTTAATAAGGTCTTGATGCTGTGATCCACCCCTAGCCTCATCTAGCCCTGGATCATAGGTACATGTATGCCCAGCATATTCAGAGAGATCTCTGTATGCAAACCTGGAACCTTCCCACATGGGTCAGCCTCACAGAGCATCGCATTTTATAGCTATGCCACCATCTGACTCCCACTATTTTAATTTTGAAGCCTATCTTGTTTGGACCTATAAATATTGTACAGTCAAAATATGATTGTGTTTGTATGTGTATATTGGTATACACACACATAATATGTCTCTCATAAGTGTGTTATAATCTCTTGCTAGGAACAGGGGTCTGGAAAGCCTCGGGGCAGGATATTTCAGATCAGATGACAAAGATGGAAAGCAGGGTACAGAAAGACCCCTCAGCAGGACAATAAAGCATTACTAGAGATGAACCCTGGCTGTGTGGCTGTCTTTTTTGTTGAGATAATGGGCTATGGACTGGGGACAGGTGTTGCAACTCAGACTCACTGTTAGAGGTCAGAGGCTATGAACATTCACCTCACCCTTTCCTGAGTCCCAGTTTACTGGCATTAAAACTTAGGGTGAGGTCACAGGAGAAATGGGGTTGAGAGGAGGCAGATTTCAGAGAATCCTAGCTTAAGCAGGAGCTGCAAACCCTAACCCAAGACTTGGCCAGAGTCCTGGACCTGAGTGACCCATAAATATGAATTCAAGTTTCCTTAACAGCAGCCCTAAAGCAAGAAGACCCTGGTTAACACTCCTTCCTTATCTATTCTACATAGTTCACATGCAGGATGAAGAGTGGAGATACAGCTCTGGGAAGTTTGGGGACCCTTTTCCACCCATAAGCCAACCCAGGAAGGGACTAAGTGCCTTCTGGCATGGCTCCAATGAGCAGCAAACCCAGGAGGCTAGAGAAGTGACTTCCCCAAAATAAAAGGCCTTTCTTTGCCAGGTTGTTGTGGCCATAGAATTTGCAGGATTCAAGAAGCAGCTAAAGAGAAAGTTCAGGCTTGGGAATGAAATTTGCATTTACATTTGCATCCCTTAAGTGCTATCAGTAGCCTAGACAAGCAAGCCACACTCTCTGCACTGCAGCCTCCTCACAGGTCAGACAAAGACTCTGCCCACTGTGCTCCATCCTCATGCAAGGAGATGGCAGAATGCAGTAGACCGTGGCAGTGAGATGTGCATGTGCACTGAATGGGAGAGGGAGGTAAATGCCATTGCTGCCATAGCATTTGCCCAAGGGGCTACACCACTAGAAGGGCACCATGATGATGAAGCCAGCAGCCAGCTGGCTACCAGTGTAAGTGAAGCAGGGACAGTGTTTGGGCACATCTTCTGAAACATGCAGGTGAATAGCAAATTAGTGACCATGACTGGGCTGCCCAAAGCTGACACTGTGGCAAGAGATGAGCTCAGGAAGGGAAGTTGGAAGGACAGAAGAACAGAAAGAGAAAGGATGCTCATTCTAGTAAACTCTCCTACTGGCCACCCAGACTTGGTTTTTTGTTTATTTATAAGTCAGAAGGCACATGCACTCACACGTGAGAGAGAGATGACAAAAGAAGGAGAAACCACTCCACACTGGGGCATGGCTATGCCTCAATCCATTCTCCATTTCCTCCATTCTGCTGAGATTTGGGGCATGCATGCACATTCTCCTGGCTTGTTTTCAAGCCATTGAGGTCAGGATTCAAACCATGTGGGATTCAGCTCCCTTAACTACCAGTCCAGGGGACCTGTCCAGTCCTCCTGGCCTTGGGCATGCTTGTACTGACTAGCATAGTGCTGGTTGCAAACCTCAATAAAGAATTTATGAGGAAGTTGGTACCTGGAGAAAAAGAGAGAGGACTGCAACTGAATTCCCATTGCCACTACCCAGGGCCTTCTGGCTCCATAATGGCCCAGTACTCAAAGGGAGCAACCTTGGACCTATGCATGCATGCACATGTGTGCATGTGCACATCTGCAGGCTCACATGCCCAGCCTGTCATTTCTCTAACCTCTCAAGAATGCACCACATTGGAACACATAAAGTATTGTTCTGGGAGTCAGGGTTGAGCTGGATTCTATGACCAAGAAAGTCATTTCACTTCTCTGAGCCTGTTTCTTCATATGGAAAGAAGGGGTTTGGCCTGGATTAGTTCTCATGGTTGACTCTGTGTATCTTAAACATTTATGAAATTTTCAAATAAAGTAACAATTGCTTAATTAATGTTTTTGTTTGTTTTACTAGTGGGGTTCTTTCAAACATGGGGTCCACTGGAAAAGGATATCATTCAAAGGAGCCTTTGGGGATTCATTACATGAAACGACCAGAATTCATTATTGAGACGTTGAAGGCATTAGAAGTAAAAGCCTGTTTTTCTTTACACTTTTAAGAAATAATAATAATAATAATAAGTAAAAATTCATCTCATAGATACCACCTCCCAGAAACTGGGAAGCCTGGGTTAGGACCCATCACATCAGGAGAATATAGGGTGGTGATTAAGACCATGGGATAATGGAGCCAAACTATTTGGATTCAAATTCAACATCACCACTTACTATCTGTACAATTTTACTTCATCATTATCTCATGTGGTCATGTAGTTAGTAACCCTGACAACCACATACACAACTAGTTATCCAGGTTGCCTTATACCCAAATGTGTGTTTATAGCATATACATTAGTGATCCTCAGCATCACAGAGAGGGCCTGTTAAAACATGGATGACTGAGCCCCGCCCCTAGAGTTTCTGCGAGGGTCTGGGGTGAAGGCTGAGAATTTGCATTTCTAATGAATTCCCAGGTATCTTAATCTATCACTCTGTTGCTTAGGGAAATACTTGTGATTTTATTTATTTAATTTATAAATAATAGAGGCTTATTTGACTCAGAATTCTGGTGGCTGGAAAGTCCAAAGGTGGTGTATGGGGGCATAAAGAGCAACTTTAAAATAGCTTTTTTTTTTTTTTTTTTTTACAACTCACTCTCTCACAAATGCCTCATGAGAGCTAGAATTTATTTGGTCACTTGGAAATAGCCACTTGGAAATAGCATTATTGCATTCATGAGGCTGATGCCTCCATGATCCACCAGACCTTACCACCTTCCAATTCCATTCCATTTGGGGACCAAATTCCAAAACGTGAACACTGGGGGCAAACTATTAACCAAATCATAACATCAGGTAATGCTGATATTGCTAGTCTGGGCGCCACACTTTAAAAGACACAGATCTATAGTGAAAATAATGACAATGGTGACACAAGTTTCATTCAACTGAAGTCTAGTCAGAAAGCTGTTTAAAATCTCTTTCAGTCCCATACAGAGTCTCTGTAGACCAGGAACTCAAAGGCTCAAAAACATTGCCCCTTATTTACTGTGTGACTTACATTCCCTCTCTGAGTCTCAGTTTTGTCATATTTGAAATGGGGATAATACTTCCTTATAAGAAGTTTATGGATAGTCAACTCTTGCTTCTATCATGTGATGGTTGTTAAGTAAGTGGTAGGTCATCCTAATGCTATTTGTCTTGTAAATAATACTACACATCCTCATTAGTTACTCAGGACAGTGTCCACTGCTAGATTTGGGCAAGAGATGAGCTCAGGAAGGGGAGTCTGCAGGAAAGAAAAAAAGTAGAAAGGATGCCCATTCTGGCATACCATTCTCTGATCACAAGCTATATACCCCCTTGATCTATGACTTTAAGGCTCTCTCCTGAAGCCTCTTCTTCTAAGATCTGCTCAGATCCTTATGGCTTTTTTTTTATTATTATTATTATTATTTTATATATTCAATCATTATACATAATTTGACTTGTAAAGAGAATTTACCCAACAGGAAATATACCTCAGACCAATCTGAATGTCTTGCCTATTTTTTCTCCCTA